TGACTCTCATTTAAGATGTGAGGTTCACCTGCTACTGTCACTTTCAAATAATAAATGGACCCATCAACAAAAACTTTGATCAGCTGATTTTATTTTAAAATGTCAAAGTGCTTATTTATATTATATATTTTATTTAGTGAATCTTGTAGATTCACTGTGTGGTTATCTGTTGTTTTTGATCATTTGAACTCGATTGCATTCAGATTTTTGATTAGTCTGATATCAAAGTAATAACATCACTCCTTCTGTCAAATGAGATCGTCCTGGTCCACGAACTGAGGTAAAAACACAGCGATGTACTATGTTTGAATGCGTCTGGTGCAGATCTGCATGATGTTAACTAATAGTTTTTGGGTTTGTACATATTCATAAAATAAATAGGTCACTATGTGCAGGGTTCTTGTGAATACCTTGAGTTTGCTGATCCATGTGATTAGAGTCACTTGATACAATGGCAAGAGAATGAAGTCTCAATCTTTATCTTATCAACAGAGGTCAGAGTGGTTCTGTGCTATTGTTACCCCCCCCACCTCGTCTAATGAACCATACTGGCTAATGTGTTACTACTGACGGTGTGACTCAACCCTTATCAGGGAGAAATGAGGGAGAAGTGAGCATCTGTTCTGCTTGTGCCAGGACTAAGAACTTTGTCCTTTGCTACACACACACACACACACACACACACACACACACACACACACACACACACACGGACAAACATTATATAAGAAGGATCGTTCATACTGAGACACGTGTGAATGTCAAAGTGCTGCACACTTCCACGATATTTCTCTTCGAGGTCGATGTGTCTGTGTGCACATGGGACGTTGTGGGGACATTCATTCTTAATTTCGACTCTACTCACAGTTGGTTATCTTCGTTTTACTTATTAATGAGTGTATTTGAACTGTTTTTTTCTCTTCAAATTAGTTCTCCCAAACGTCGATAGAAGCCTACTTACCACAACATAAAATCCAGGGCACACTTAATTATTGATTTGCGAATACAACACAAAGAAGAGTGTCACAATACTACAGCATATAACACAACAATGAATGCAGGCACTTTAAAATCATAATTATTTAATTTGTCTATTATATCTCACAATGTCCACCTTATTTTTGGCCACTGCAACAAGGACTCAGCCATAAGCTGCTTTCAGACATGCACTAAACTCTGCAGATCCTTCTTATTTTCTCTGGAGGACGTGCTAGAGGCTCGGGATAATCTGCGGACTCTCCCTGCCTGGTCTCCTAGTATAAAGTCTGTAAGTATTCAGGAGAATCTGATGTGTGATTCACTGCAAGCGAGTGGAGGGGGGGGGCACCTGATAATGCTTCTAACATGCGACAGACGCAAAAAAGAAGAAAAAAACTAAAATCAAACGAATAACTTCCGGTGAAAAAGTGTTGTCATACACATAGAAGACTCATGAAGATGTCTAGAGAGTCTGTGTGTTGTCATGAAAATCACGTCATCTCTGCAGCAGAGCCAATATGTTACTTCCTGCCTCTGCCGGCTGCACCCAGCTGCTCCACCTCTAGCCTGACTATTGTGGATTTGTTGCTGTTGCAAACAACCTCGTGGTATAAGCTTAACCTGTGAGTCACCGGTACACATTTAATTTGCATTTTAATGAGTTTATTGTAATATTTGTAATATAACAATATTTTAACATTATCTTAGTTGAAGTTATTTGAAGGCCAAGGGTCAGAGGTTGTATTGACTTACAATAGTCCCATACAATAGTTTAGCCTTAGTACTTGTATCTGCTCTCATGAATCCTCACACACACAGTATCTGTCCCTCAGCTGACGTGTTTGTTAGTCGTCTGACTTGAGGAAAAAGAAGAGCAGGGGCTTGTTGTGTTCCTCCTTGTGTTAATAAAATGTATTTGAACTGAACTGAAGGTAGAAACCAAAAGAGGAACAAAAACAACATGGTGAATTCCAGTCGTCTTTCCTGTTATGTTCTTTCTCTTCTCCCTTAGCTGCAAGCCAAGTAGCAAATTTCTCACATATACACTGCCTGGTTCTTTATTCTTACACCTCCAGTTAATGTCCCTTAGGATGTTGATGAGTGAGTTAGAGACACCATAGAGGCGAGCATGCGTCTGTGGACGTGCTTTCCTGAAGATCAAACATTATTAGATAATCTCTCCCTCTGAGATTGTTTAGAAGTCAAATTAGGTTTTAAATCCTTTTATTCAAATTCCTGACATGACTATTTCAGTCACTTTTCATGAGTTCAACTCTGTACATGTTTTCCTGTAGATACTGTTTGAACATGTTTGAACATGTGTTATCTCCATATAAATGATTGTTGTGACTTGTCTCTGTTTAACAGACACATTTTCACTCTGCCTGTGAGTGAGGCTCAACAACTTGTTGAAAGTTGTTATTTTCCTACAAACTCAGTCATAATAATATAATTCATCAGACTGATGAACTGAATATTTGTCGAGGCAAACTCAGGCTGTGTGATTTAAGGATGTATACTTCTGTTGTTTCATATTGTGCTCAGAGTCAGAATCAGAAAGGTGATTGCACCTACAAGAAGGACTGCAGCTGCTTCCTTTACATGCACATGGTTTGGCCATACTTAGGTTACAGTCTGGTCCCTTCAACAAACATCATTCTTTAAACATCCCTCAGCTGATCACTCATCTCCCCCTTTTCTGCAGGGTCACTGTTACATTATGAATGTACCAGAATGATGATGTATTATTAGTTTCAGTAAATATTATAAAACCATATTTTATCAGACTATTGTATCAGTGTTGAAGTGAATAGTGTCATGCCACATTTCAATGCAACACAACATCGCAAGCTGCCTTATTTCTGAAGAAGTCCTTGGTCTTGTCCTTGCACTGACACACACACACACACACACACAAACACAAACACACACACACACACACACACACACACACACACACACACACACACACACAGGCACAGGCACATTAATGCAAAGGAAAGGGGCCATTATTCCCACTATGCACCATGTGCTGCCACTGTCACAGTGGGCATCAAGCTGTGAGAGCGATTGTCTTCAATAACCTGCATTATGTCATCATGGTACAAGATCTGCAGGACTACTCCCATTTTTCTGAAGCTTTTTGGGGCTGCGCCATGGCCACCAGTTTGTGTGTGCGTGCGTGCGTGCGTGCGTGCGTGTGTGTGTGTGTGTCTTCCCTCTGGCACTGACAGTGTGATGTATGGAGTAACAGCAGCCTGCTATCACAGAGAACAGGTGGCTCTCAGAGACAAACTCACAGCACACTGGCCTGATTTAATGTGTGGGAGAAAAAGCAAACTGAACAATTGTCTTTTCATGGTTGTGGTGAAAACGGTAGCTGTTGCAGTGAGTGAAGGTAAATCACCAGCAACCGCACACGCTGAAAGAATCAAATGAAGGATCTTAGATCCACATTTCATTCTTTAACGCACAGGGACACCTGGGACGTAGGAGTTATCTCTGTTGTCTTTTTTTTAACAAAGCTGGACAGAGTACTGTGTAATCCATCCTTCAGTCTCTTCCTAAATAAAGCAATTTCAGTCACAATAGACAAATCACCATGAGCCTCAGAGAGTTTATTTAGTTTCTGTGATGATTATACATAAATACTCAAAAATGACTTGATCAGTCACTATAGATTTGTTGACCTTTACTTATGACTTCAAGTATACACTCATACTTTCTCACATTTCTTGATTTTTCGTTTTCTTTTTAGGCCCCTCACTGATCATTACTCAACAGGAAAAGCCATTTCCCTTAATGTCTCCTCAAAACCACTTTAACTGGCTTATTGGCCACTTTTGGCTGCGAAAACACAGACTTTTTTTAAAAGTTGAAATGTTAGCTTATTTTCTTACTGCCTAAGTTTACACATCCAACTAACACCAAGCAACATTAGCCTTCATTTTGATCAGCTCCTGTCCTGTTGGTGAATTCAAATTTAATATCCCCCTGTTTTCACCTGTTTCTGGTGTCCACCACCTGCTGAGGGGAATCAGACTCAGCAACATGCTCCACTTTGTTCACCAGCTAGATGCTGATGTTATCTGTTGATGTTGCTGAGCTGTTACAGTGCAGTTGAGGTGTCAGAGCGTCTTCCTGAAAGCACCTACACTTCCGAGAAGTATGTCATGTGTGGGAATCAAAACCACAACTGTTCATACCATGGGCCCAGAAAGCAAAACTGAGAGATGCTGTGGGGAGCTGCAGAGTCATGTGGTCATTGTTGTTTTTCATGATTCCTTTTATAGGTAGAAATGGTCATGAGCCATTTTAGCCACTTTAAATATAATCCCATGTTTCTGCATATGTGGATGTAATTGAAGATGTTTAGGTCTTTGGGGATAAAAGGCCTGTGTCGGTCCAGATAGTGTGAGATCCGTGGAGGCTGATGGCAGGTGGCCAGGACATTGTCTCATCAACTACTGCCTTCTCTCCATTATCGTCTACTTGTGGGAGATCGTTATCGATCTGTGTGCAGGGCCACACTTATCTGGCAAGCTGCGTTTCACTCTCATATATACAACTTTCAGGAATACAAGCAAAGAGAAAGGAAGACAAATGTGTGTAATACAGAGATCTCAGACAAACCCAGTAAGAGCAGTAGATCACATGACCACATGGGTGTAGAGGTGATATGTTAAGGATTGTTTTTGATGTGATTGTGGGACCGAGGCCACGCGTGTGCAGCAGCATGTTGAGCACTGAGCTCTCCTCCTGTTCCCTTCCCTCCCACTGTGTTTCCAGACTAGCTCGACTGTTTTTCACCTCTCACTCAGGACGTAGCCCAGGAAAGGGAAGAGGGTGCGGCTCAAAAACAGACTGTGACCATCTCTTTTTTTCCCTCCCTCGTTTTCCCTCTTTCTGGTTGCTTTTTCTTTTCTTACCTCCCTCCTCTATTTGAAAAAGACTTAACTGACGATTTGTTCATCCTCATGCACCCAAACACATAAGCTCATCAAACTGTATTCTGTTTGTAGATGGCAGCAATCAGGAAGAAGTTGGTGATAGTTGGGGATGGTGCCTGTGGGAAGACCTGTCTGCTCATCGTCTTCAGCAAGGACCAGTTCCCAGAGGTGTACGTCCCCACTGTGTTTGAGAACTACATCGCTGACATTGAAGTGGATGGAAAGCAGGTATTTGATATTTAAATTTCTACTTGTTTGTTTTGGTGAGATCTGAAGAATCAGCTGTAGTGGTACGTAACTGAATATTTTTACTAAAGCACAGAACACTGTTCTTGAGTGTATTTATTTAAACGTATCACTGATGCTCTTCTATATTTGGTTTACTGTTTTCTCTTCTCCATTTGACAAATGAAGTACTGGTTATTTATACAACATGTAAAAAGCTTAAAAAACATTGTGACCATCCAATAAAAAGAAGCTGTGTCTGTTTGGTGCCTCTCACATTTCAGATGTTTTGAGATTTTAGCAGGTCCACCCTCTAAAATTCTTATTTTATTTAACTATTTGAGGCCTAAACAATTCAAATCATCCAGTAATTCACAAATCAAAGATTATGAAAACAAGTGAGTGTATTAGAACTTTTTTCTTCTTGTTTTCTCACCCATTTATCCTCTATTTTAAATTTTTTGACCTTTTGGAAGAGGTTAGAAGCTTTTTTAGAGAAGATCAAGTTAAAACTATCTCTTTGACCAGCAGTGACATTCTGCTCACACATTGTTGTAATAGTATTAAAAAATAATGTTGTATAATAAAATATCAGATATTTAACTCCAGAATGAGCACTTAAGTTTTCATTCTTTTTTTGTCTGAAGGACTTTTTTTAAATCACTGTATTTGTACTTCTGCTCAGGTAAAGGATCACTTCCTCTACTGATGGGAATTACTCTTCAGAACAGAGAACAGATTTATGTGACGTACTAAAAACGGCTGTTGAAGTATTAAAATGTGACCCTGTTGGCTCTGTTGTATGAAAACCACGTGCCATCAAGACTGATGTGGACAAGTGTTCATTGTTAATAAATCCCTGGGTCAGTTTGCTGTTAATAAAGCAGCAGAGCTCCAGCCAACAACAGGAAAAGGATCCTGTGCTGTGTTGGAACCCCCCTCCTCATACATCATGACTAATGTCCCATTTCCTGTTCCTGTTTCCTGAGCTGCATAATCTGGTATCAGCCAGCTGGGGTTTGGTCTGTTTAATATGGATTTGACTGGGATCCAAACCTCTCAGCTGTGGTGTACCAGTTTTTAATAGTATCACTGGTCAACTCACAACTGACCCTGACGTCATCTATCTTGGATCATATTCAGTTGGAGTTGCAGTGCGGCTGTGCAATATGGCTAAAAATGACATCAATATAAAACTGTTCAAATTACTTGATATTGATAATCATCTCAATAAGTGTCACATTATTAGTTCTAATGTATATTGGCAGATAATGAGAAACACTTGACAAACAGCAAAACATTTGACAAATCTGAGGTCGATCAATGTTTTCTAACTCCTCATTCTGATCAAACAATTCCTAAGCATTATATTTAACTTATATTTCCATTGTTGTAAATACTATTATGATAATTGCATATATTGTTTTAATGCCCAGCCCTTAGTTACAAAGAGAAGTCCACAAAGGCAGCTTAGTGGTAAAAGTACAAACGTTGCTGACTCCTGAGAGACACCTAGTGGTTAAAAAACTGAAAAGCAGCACAGATGAAAACTGAAGTTGGTCATGGTGTTCCCACACAGAAGATGTGGTTCGGCTCACTGCCTCAATATAAGGTGGAAAATGTCCTCCCTGTGTTAGACTGTAAGTCAGAAGGTGCCGTGGTTTGCCCGTCTCGCCAATGTAAGTAGCTCGTCAGCCAACAAGCACAACTTGGCCAGACATGAGAATAGTGAGACGTCAGAAAAGCCCAGAAGAACAGCTAACATACTGGAGTTGCTCTCTGGGGAACGATTAAGACGGTTTATTTTCCCATTTCTCAGCAGCAGCAGGCACAGTTTTCCAGCTGTGATGGTAATGTAGGGAGGGTACTGGAGGATTAAATCAGCAGAACGCAGGAGGATGAGATGGGTCAAGATCACATTTAAAGCCGAGACACCACAATCAATTTGTCGAGATATGTACATTAAAAAAACCTGATACAGGCATTAAAAGGACATTTCTAGGCCACTGTACATAAGATGTCCCTACATGGTGCTTTGTGGTTTCATGGCAGCAACTTGCTGAGCTCCAGCAAATGTGTTTTTTTCTGCTGGGCATTGTTTAATGTGGAGCAGGTCAGGCTCTGTGGGACTGCTAACAGTTTGATTTACAGCCCAACAAAAGCCTGTGGGAGCCGTGTTCACCTCTGAGGACTTACGTTTCAAGCTTGATAGGCAAAACAACAGTTTTAAATCCTCCCTTTCTATTGTCTTTCCAGTTTATCTGCCTCTTGGCAATGGAAATGTTATTTATAAAGCACATTTCATTCGCGGAAAGTAAATGTGCTTGACATTGAGAGAGGAAAAAAAAATATATATATACACAGATGTAAAGGTGTTTGCTATATTAACCATATCCTTTTTTTGTTTTTTTAAAGTGTAAGCACATTACCTTGTTTTGATAATGTGACTGAAATTATTAGAGCTTGACTAATATGGATTTTTCAGAGCTGACACATATAACAGAGTAAAACAATTCTGTTATGGATCAATCTCTTTTCTTTGTCATCAGGCTTTGATAACGACAGCTTTGGAATTATTGCCAAAAATGTTGCAGCTTGATATTTCACAGTTTGACACTTAGTTATAAATAAATACCAATGAAAAGAAAACACCAATACAACCAAACAAAACCTTTCTATGTCAAACATGAACATCTTTTCTCCAATGCAAACATTGGATTGATTATTAACATAAAAGAATGATAGTAATAACAAACCAGAGATTTCGCTACACCATTTCAAACAGACAAACCTTTTTACTGCATCGTTTCTTCTGTAAAACAAAAGTTTTCTATATCGACACACACAAATATATTGATACCAATGTCTCCTTAAGGCTCATTTTGCCTGTTTTTTACCATCCAACTGATAAATGTGTTGTTTCTAGAGATGCTGCTCTGTACTTGCCACCTCTTATATCAGGTGTTCTTTCTCCTCCTCTCTCTCAGGTGGAGTTAGCGTTGTGGGATACAGCAGGTCAGGAAGACTACGACCGACTGAGGCCTCTCTCTTACCCTGACACTGACGTTATCCTCATGTGCTTCTCCATAGACAGCCCTGACAGTTTAGGTAAGACGGGTTACATGTACTGACACATCACAGCTTATTACTGTGCCACAGTGGATAATAAGTTCTTTACTGGAATTAACAACAACAACTCAACTATACTTCATGAGATGTGGAAGCATTTGCAGAACCTGGGATCACGAGTCATGTGTTTAAACGTAATAATGAATACAAATCATCAGTACAGGGCTTTATATGTTAACTCACAGTTAATGAATAAGAGATTTTTTATTCAAGCATTTTAAATAAGTAGCATAAGCTGAGGCTCATGTTTGAATAAATCCACAAAATGCAGTGAGGCAGAGTATCAGAAATCAGATGATGCGTGGTTTGGAAAATCCTCAGATTCTTTCATTAGCGTCGGTACAGAAGTAGTTTTAACTTCGCCAAATCCTTCATTAAATCTTTATATTTTCCACCACGAGGAGAGTGGATCTGTGCAGGAAATCCCCTCTTTAGGTTTTTTCCTTCTTCTAAGTTCTGTTGTTTCAATACAGTTTCCTGTTTTTCAGGGACTTCATGAACGCACTGAACCAATCTGAAAAAACTGCTCATTCAAATGGTGTTTGTTCATGTGTATGATTAAATTATTGGTTTTGTAATTAACCCAGCTGCTGCCGACTGCACAAACATTACAGTGACTTGAGTTTATGCTTCTTGTTCTGGTTTAGTAATTCAAGTCTGTAAATAAGGTAATTTCACACGTCATTGATATCTGTTAACCCTGCTAAGGTGCACTGAATAAAATTATCTTGAATTAAAGAAAAGAATATTTTCAAACCCGTCTAAAGCTGTAGTCATAAAGATTTTTATACTTTACACCGATCAATGCATCTTTAGTAGAGGGTAAGTGTACATGCAGTTGTTTACACAGGAGACGATGGACAGATATCCTGCTGCTCTTCAAGCTCGATTATTCACTGGAATTTTCTGCAGGCTTGGATCTAAGTATTGTTTGCCCTTGAAAACGGAATCAAACCCATGAATAAATGTCTTTGGTTTTCTCCCACAGTGTTTTGTTTTGGGCAGGGCCACAGATGGTATTCCTACGCTATCACAACATAACATCTCTTTCCAGAGAAAACAACTCTGAGTTTTGGCTCGCAGACCTCGTAGGGGTTGGTGACCTCTCGATGTTTATGTCTGTACAGTCACAAGGGAAATGACACAGCTCTCTTCAAACTGTGTCCTTGTAAGGAAGGAATCAACTCTGCAGTGATTCAAGTTGTTTTCTTTTTTTTTATATAGAGAACATTCCTGAGAAATGGACACCTGAGGTGAAACATTTTTGTCCCAACGTCCCGATCATTCTTGTGGGCAACAAGAAAGACCTGAGGAACGATGAACACACACGCAGGGAGCTGGCCAAGATGAAGCAGGTGTGTGTGTTTCTGTTTATATTTGTCTCTGCTAAATGTCCACACACTGAGGTGAATTTAACTCACCGTCTTAACGTTGAACCTCCAGGAGCCGGTAAAATCAGAAGAGGGCAGAGACATGGCCAACCGCATCAGTGCCTTTGGTTACCTGGAGTGCTCCGCCAAGACCAAGGACGGCGTGCGGGAGGTGTTCGAGATGGCCACCAGAGCCGCGCTGCAGGTCCGCAAGCGCAAAAAGAGGGGCGGCTGCCAGCTACTCTGAAAGGGCGGAGTTTGTTGGCCAATCAGCATCTGAGGGAGCTCTCTCCGACACACACAGCAAAGTTAATGAAACCTTAAATCAATGGCTTCCGTGGACTCTACTTAACATCACAGTTATGCCACAGGCAAATATGAGAGACTGACACACCTGTTTAAAAGCAAATCAGCTTTTTCTTTTTTTCTTTTTTAAAAACAACTTCCTCTGCTACTCACACGCTCTCAGTTTTTGTTGTGTTTGTTGTTTCCTTTTCCTCCACCAGCCTGTTTGTGAGGAGGACCTGCCTCCTCCTCCTGTATGTATGAATGTATGTTTGTATTTAAATGTGCATATACTTTACAAATACATCAGCCTCTGTGTTATGATTGTTTACAGAGAACAGTCCTGCAGCTCACATGCTCGCGGCTTGTTCTCTCAGCTCACGGCTGCAAGTAGCAGACAGTTTTAGTTTTGCTTTAATAATGTGGAACCCCCACTTCTCTTGACCCCGCACAAACCACTCCGTCTTCTTGCATACATCAGCTTCGGTCACGATTCTTCATCTGTTTTTCGTACCAATTTCATTTTACACCGTGAAAGTCCTTTTTCACCATGTGCTGTGTCAGCAGAACTCTGTTTTCCCAGCTCTGCACGTATAGGACTAAATTTAAAGCCTGTTCACATCTGCATTAATCTCCAACTGAAGCCTACATAAACTGAGGAAGCAGTGAATATTTATGTAGAGAGGTTGGAAGGCACCTTGGTCTGTCTCTATCTTCCATGGCGACAGCTTCAACTGGCACTGGAGACAATGGCACATTGTCATGGATACAATACTCGCAGTTACGCTCTCGCTGGCTCTGACAGACACAACACCCAAACAAGCTCTGCGTCATGGTTTCAGATCCAGTACACAGTCATGATGTATCACCGCATTCTGGAGGGCTCACGCATTGTAAACACAATACTAATAATACAGAACAGCTTATAAATATTTTCTGTGCACAAACATTTTGATAAAACGCAGAACTGACAAATTGATAGACTACACAAACTGTGACTTTCCCACAGAGCTTTCGCCTCTGTTAAATTCACAAGATCAGTGACTGACATTTTCAAACAGGGGCTTTGCTGCTGTGGAAAAGTCCTTTGTGTAACACTACAGAAATATTCCTCAAAATGAGATTGAACACATGAAGATATGCACATTTGTAGCAAGCAAAATGCCTCCCTTGTTTTGCCCTTAAAGATCATCAAACCATTAAAAACACAGGGGGTGTATTTGGGCTTCAAGTTGAAACATCAAATCAAAGTTTGACAAGAAACTGCAACTAATTGGGATGAAAGTCTGAGCACCAAGTTAGTCAGTGACCAAAAGTACATGTAAAAGTAAGCTACCTAATTTTTTGAACCACCATCTCCATACAGCCCTATGATGCAGTGAGAATGAACCTGTATGACAGGTTGTTTTTACTGTTCTCTTTAATCCACATCTCTTGCTGCCCAGAAAAGACCCTGAACATACTCTGGATGTATCGATCTTACCACCGTCATGAACTACAGCTACGATGCAGCTTTCTTTTATCCAGTTCTTTCAGATCCATAGTTGCAGGCTCAGGCTAATTCCTGGATGGTGCCTCTGTGTCTACTGTCAGCAGAATGGGATGTGTTGAATGTCTGGATGAGACAAACATGTTAATAAAGTATTTTTGAAATACTATGTAATTTTTACTGATTGACTTACAGATGATTTAAAATTTATAACCTCATACTGGTGCCCAACATTTCTGATAGCAAACTGTGTTTGAGTTTGAACAAGTGATGTTACGTTACTGAAAAGTATAAAATATAACATTATGATGTTTTCCTGTGTTCCAGGAAGGAATCAGACAGCATTCATATCTGTTTAGTTTGGGTTTTATTTCCGAGTGGGATTTTTACTGTTTAATGGAAAACCAACCACAAACCACTTCCACTAACAACTAAAGTAAAAAAGCAAAAAAATCACCCAAACCATTTGTTGCTTTGGTTTGAGGGATTTCTAGAAGAGACATTTGGACACTGAGTGAGCTTCTTAGATTTTTTAATTCAGAAAATATCAAACAGGTCAGAATATATGAACTGATCCAACCCGACAGGTGAATAATAAGAGGGAGGCGATGACGGGGTAAAGTAAATACGATCAAATAAGACATTTTAACATGGAAAGGAGCTTTGTGCCCTTTCAGAAGAATTAATCACCAATGTATAAATCTTAAGAATATTTGGTTTCATGAATTAATCCCTGCAAGTAGCAAAGCTGGAAGTTTGGTCTCTCCTTCAGTTCACAGATCGTTCCTGCACTCAAGCTCCAGGTACGAGACTCCGCTCACGAGAAAACAAAGGTAGACAATTTCAACCTAGACTCAAAATGCTCAGTTTTAGTGGGACATAAAGGTGTGTGTGGGCGTGCGTGCGTGTCTCACTTCGAGCCTCTAGTGTGACTTCTTCCAGAGCCCCATGGATTTTCTGCACCTATATGAGACTCAGAAAAAACAACAGCTTCAGTTTTCACTCAAACTTTAATTTATCCACCCTCTAAAACATTGTTTATCTTGTTTGTTGACATCCTCTTCATTTCCTGATCATTCCATATCGATGAATAAAGTCGTCTTGGAGAAAAAATGCTGCTGTTTGTGGCTGCCTGCTCGCATCCTCACTGCAAATGACTGGAGTCTTCAGCAGGTGGAGACATACACCACTGAAGCCGAGGTGATAGTCAGAAGTTGGTGAGGGAGTCAGGCAGTTCACTTTCATTGTTTTAGGGGCAGAACTTACTACTCATATGCAAATGAGCCCACGTGAGAACACAGCAGGAGATTTTTTATCACTGTGTGATTACTAGAGGTGTGCTTTATAAAAACATCTTAGACTATTACTGGTAAAGTGTGCTGTAACTTACAAAATTGTGACTAAGAGTGGTCAGTGCTCTCCACATTGATTTGACATTCACTCAGTTAAGACTTGTGTGCTTCATCTTTAGCCTTTACTGTATCAGGGGGCCTAGAGTAACAGTTCCAATAATGAACAAACACTGAGGAGAGAAATCAACTTTGAATGGGGAGAAACCTCAAGAAGACTCCAAATCAGTGTTGGTGGCCACCTGTCTCGACCGGTTGGATTGAGTGGAGAGAAATACCATCAGACAGGAGAGGGCTCATCAGTGTCTGAAATTTAAGACAGAGTAATCCCTCTTGCAATAACAAAACCATAGAGGATCTCTGCTAATGTTTCAGTTCTGCTCAGTTCAGGTTTTCCTCCACTAGTGAACCATCTTCCAAAACAAATCCACAGAAGATCAGTGATGAGGAAGTAAAGAGAGAAGCTGTGACTGTGCTGGACTCACCTCCAGCACCAGGCCTCATGTCTTCATGTCCTCAGGAGCGACTGAGATCCAGAGTTTGTCTGGAGACAGAGCTGCTGCAGGTGAAGCTGCTGCAGGAACAGATGCTCTGTGACACACTCCTCTGCACAGGGAGGCGCAATCATTAGCTTTACTCTCCATGTTTAAAGGTAGTCCAGTCCAGAGCAGTGTACATCCCAGGTTTCCCCAGAAGGTTTCAGGTGAGGCTCAGTGAATCCACATGAAATATGACATTTTACATTATTTAACACAGCTCAACATGAAACAGTCATTTCCAGCTTATACTCAATATCTAGAAAAATTCCTCCACTTCTACAAAGAGCATAAGCCTGTGATGGATTGTGATACAGAGACACTAGCTGTTTGTTTTGGTTTTGACATATTAACACCCCATATGTGACTCTTTATTTACTCTTGAAACCATTTTAGCTGTTTTTTTTTCATGCTAATTCAAACCAGCAGCTCAGTGTTTTTTTCCAGTTTATGTTCTCATCCCACTAAAACTTATATCATGTCTTCTCTGGTGCTGGAGGAGCTTTGTTTGAGTAAATAACCCCTGATGATGCAGTTATGTCATGGATGAGTATGACCTAAGAAAAAGACGATAGATTTGCAGATCTAAAAATAAATTAGCATTTGTTCATTGCTGGGCCTTGGCTTAGATCACTCTGCTTAGTGCCATTCAAGGTCTACATTAGAACTCTTGCCACTAGAGGGAAACACAGACTCACTTTTGCTGAGTCAGTTTGCAGACACTGGTGGCTGTCTGAGGTATCATTTCTATATTTCTAACAAATGTTAGCTGTCCTTTTTGCAAACTGTGCAGTCAAGAAGTCAGAACTTTATCTATTCTGTCCTCAAATGTGCTGCATCAATTAACTTTAAATGGATTTCATTTGGTGTTTTCATTTTTAGTGTGACATGTTTATGACATATTTCAAGTTGCTCCTGTTTATAAAGAGATTAGTTGCAGATATAATTGTTGTACAAGTCTGTGAGATGTGTTTTATGTTTTGAAATTAAACACTAAGCCGAGAGCAGAGCTAAAGAGGGAAGAATGATCACCATGATGTTGATTATGATGTAGTTGGACATATATTTATACTGTATAAGGTCCAAAGTGATAGGTTGATTCATTGATTCACTTGATTGACAGAAATTTAACAAATTTACTAAATCTACATTGATATAAATAGAATATTTGGGGGGTTTGGTGTAACTGCAGACATCATCATCGGCCATGTGAAGATGCAAGAGACCTTTTAAAAAATAATAAGTAGCTCTTTCATTGATTGAATAATTTAACAATTCATCTAAAACCAAGGATTCTAATTTTCTTTATTGTAAGTACATGAAATACAATCAAGTGTGCAAGTGGTGAATTTACAGCAATAGACAGGACATGAGTTTCAGTTGTGCTGTATGATTCATGCATTATTTTCTCGGCGGCAGCACAAGTGCGTTGTGCGTTGTGTTCTTGTCAAGTTTCAGTGTGCGTGTGTGTCTGAGCGTAGGAGGTGTCTGCTGATGTCTCTGAAGAAAGCCTGGAAGTGGCCAAATTGAGGATTAGAGGGACGGAGGGGGGTCGGGTTTGTTTGACACAAAATCTTCAAAACAACCAGAGGTGTTTGTTTATCCTGATCAGTGTTAGTGCTGTGCATGTGTCTGTTGGTGTGTTTATGTCAGCCTCCTATCTGTCTGCCCGTCCATGTTTGTGTTTGAGGCTGATTTCCGTCAGACTGCACGATGACTCAGCCGTCCCGGCCGTCTTATTCTCTGTGCGTATTACTCTGACAGTGACTCAGGTCATCTCGTTGTCCTGGTGGCCATGACCCCACATGAGCCAGAATCTTAGTCAGACAGCAGCACTTGATTATTTCTGTATGTGTGTGTGTGTGTGAGAAAGAGAGTCCCCCCTGATATTCATGTGTATGTGTCTATTTATCAACATGTCAATGCATTCTATGTTTCTGTATGTGAGTGTGTTTGTACACATATATATGCATGTGTGTGTATGTGTGTGTGTGTGAGGGTGTGTGTGTATGTGTGCGTGTGTGTGTATGTGTGCGTGTGAGTGTGAGTGTG